ACCAACAGTAGGTTTTCATGTGACTTTTTTAAATGTCTTAAATACTAGTTATTCTACCCGATAGTCCCTCCCTTCTTCAACTCCATTTAATCCTTCTGTTCTTATTTCCTTTCCCATTTTATACTACCTTCGCTCTAACCGCTTCCCGTGAGATCTCCCCTCACGGCCCCATTTTTGTTTCCTGCATTCTACGGAACTCCATTGTAAATACACATATGTAAAGATTCACACCTGACATACTATTCAGATTTTGGAAGGATTTGTTAGGGAAGGGAATTTTAAAAAGAGGGAAAAAAATATGTAGCTTTACATCAAGATGTCAGCATATGGAAAATCAAAAACTCAGATTATATCAAGTTTTCATCTTCTATGTGTGCAGTTGGCTAAATTAAGGAATTTAGGTTGCTGTGCTTACATTTTGTGTGTCTTAGTCCTATTGAAATGAGTATTTTAATCCTGACTCCTCCCTCTGTCGCTCTGGCTGGTTTTGCAACCTGTGTCCTCAGCAAACACAATGAGCAGGCCTTCTCATCCTCACCCCGTTTCGCACAGCCCTTCTTCAGGCTACTATTTGGACATGCATTTCACAGGAAAACCAATCGCTTGTCTAACAGAGAATCTCTCCAACTATGCTATCATCCATCCTCCAGCCAGTGTTTTATTAATTCCATATCTTACTATTCAGCATAACATTAGAGGGTTTTTCAAGTGTTTTATGAAAGTAAGGTGAAATTAAGGTGATTCAGGGTATATGAAACTTTCCAAAACACAATCCTGGAGTGGGCTTTCTGCTGTTTCTTCATGTAGGGGTAAACTGTGAACCTCGTGTTTATAATGCCTTTTGACTATAGCCTCAAGGAAATGAAAGCCTGCCTCACAACCCTCGGTAGTGACATGCTTCCAAAATGCAAGTCTAAACCAAATGAAAACTGAAGTTCTTCAAAGAAGTGCTTTTGTGATACTTGTGAGCCATGTGACTTCTCACAGGACTGCTTTGCTTGACCTGTCACCAAGAGAAGTTAAATGGTGGCAACCATGAGGAACAGACAAAAATGTGACTTGAGCTGATAGAGTTGGGGAAATTCTCAGATAAAATTTTGGTATTTAAATTGATGTCCTGAGTAACCTTAAACGAAAAGCTGCATTGCTGTGCCCTGTTCAATAGCAGACTTCCAGCTATCTCCCTTACCACCTTACTAGTAAAAAAATCCTCGCTCTCTGATCCTCCTTAACCCCTCCTTCTGGCAGGGCTCTGTGTGGAATGTCTTCTTAAAGCCACCAGAACCTAATCACAGAGGTTTGTGGGATGGACAGCGGTTCTCTATTTACCAAGCTGGCAGCCAGCTGGCCAGTTACTACAAGGGGCATCAGAGCCCATGCCAGAGAAGGTAAAAGACTGAAGGGATGACTCTTTTCATCAAGACACTTAATCTCTGTGCACGTTAAATCCTCAAGTGCCGTTGCCTTACACTGCGGATGGATGCGCCTTTAGCTGTTGACTATCCAGTGTGAATTAGAGGGGTACAGTGACAGAGAGTGTGTTGATTGTTAACTGCTTTGGGTCATAAATTAATCTTCTGATGACTCCTTTTGTGAAGCTCTCATAGGTTGTATCTGTACCAGCTGTAGCCCGGGGTAGGCAGTGTCCGTAACCGTAAGAACAGCGTTGGAGGGGAGTGCCTTAGCCACAAAGAACGCAAGGAGGGGTGTGATATGATAGGTGTCCTCTTTGTGAATCTCTGGCCAAACCGCAACACAAGTGGGGCATCCTTGTCTCCACGGAGACTCATTCACTCTCCCTGTCCCTTTTCCTCCCTGCCCACTCTCTGATTTTCCCCTACCACTGTCCGTCCCTCCCTTCCTCCCTTCCTCTCTTTTCTTTAGAGTTGTAGTTGCAAGAGTCCTCATACTTTTGAAATTACATTTACTTACTTATTTATTTTGTGTACAAGCACAGGTGTGTGCCACAGCACTCCTGTGGAGGGCAGACAAAGCAAAGACGTGTAATGCATGGCTCAATGCCCTGTGTGAAAGACAGATATATGCAAAAATAAACCATCCATAACCATGGGTTAGAGTGTGGTTAAGACAGTGTCTCGGGAATAAAAAGGAAAAATTCCCGATGAAGATATCCTGAGGTTTCTTGTGCATGGTGGTACAATGAAGGCATCAAAGGCAAGGTCAGAGTGCTGGCTGTGACCTACCATCCCTAAACCAGATTCTGGCACATAGCAGATTATGAAGTCAAGAGAGCAGACTGGCTGTGGATTCAGAAAACAATTGATGAGAATGTTCTTTTGGCCACACCATAAGCACAGTAACTGACCTTCCATTTTGCCTACTAAGAGCACCAAAATTACTAGTTGGTAGCATGGATCTTACTATCTCATTCATTCATTCATTCATTCATTCATTCATTCATTCATTTGTATGTGTGTGTCACAGGCATGCGTGTGAAGGTCAGAGAACAACTCTCAAGGGTCAGTTCTCTCCTGACTTTTGACTTCCAGGGTTCAAACTCAAGTTGTCAGGTTTGTGTGTGTGCAAGAGCCTCTAGACCTGCTGAGCCATTGCACCAGCCCCACATAAAATCACTTGCAGTCTTCTTTCCAGAGAGGAAGGAAGCTGACCTGGGAAACTGAGGTAAGTCTGAGATGCAACCCAGACTTCACAGCCTCGTTTAGGAGCTACCTGTGTGGTCTCATTAGCACACGGGGGAATGGGTTGGACATGTGCTCCACACTGCCGGTCTGGCGGTCTCTCCGGTCTCAGACTCCAACAGTGTCTCAAGCATGCTGGGCGTGACAGATCCCCTGCCCACCCGCTCCTTGGCAAATAGATCAGGAGACTGGATCTTTCCCGAGGTCTCATGACCTTCCCAGCCAGCTGTGCATATAGATCAGCATTGTTGTCGTCATCCTGAATAGAAGAAAAAACAGATTTCAACTATGTCACAGCAACACTATGAGAGGATCTTTCCACGGGATGTGGATCTCTAGCCACAGCCACTCGGAGTTCATGGAGCTGTCAAGATGGCTCAGGGGAGGAAAGCACATAATCCCAAGCCTGACTACCTGAGGCCCATACCTAGAACCCATGTGGCAGAAGGTCACCCTTGAAGGTTACCCCCTGACCGCCACACATTTGCCATGACCTGAGTGGACACACATGTATACACAAATACGTAATATTAAAAAAGAAAACATGGCTCATTCTAACACTCTCCACTCTCTGCCAGTCTTAGCACTCAGAACACGTTCGAGTCTACCATCACTTCTAAGAAAATGAGAGTGGACGGATGAGGTAGATGTTAAACCCCACCCACACACACACCCCGTACACTGCGCTCTCAGGGGCTCCATGACACATCTGCGGTCAACTTGAGCAGGTGCTGAGTCTGCCCCCTCGGGAGCTCAGAAGCTTCTGTGCAGTAATGTAGAAGGGCACCACGAAGGCATTTTTCTCTCCTTGTAAAAGAGAAAGACGAAGGATGGAGAAGTATTTAGACACACCTCAGTCACTTTGCAGTCACTGCATTGTTTCTCCCACAGAAATACCCTGTTGATTTTTAAATCCCTTTAAACCTCCCTGGCACCTGTATGGCCCAGATCCAAAATTCACTGCCGAATCCCTTGCTCTTGCTTTTTATATTTAACCTCGCAGGCGTTTCAGTGATTGTGACTCCTGGTTATTGAGAATTTAAGGCCCTCCAGAAGTTTCCTTCTTCCCTGGAAGCTAGAATCCTGTAGCGCTCAAATCTCAATATCAGACTGTCTTCATTGTCATCCCCACATTTTCCTAACCAAGTAAGCATATGGACAAATACACACTTTAGTTCTGCAAGCTTTAAAAAAAAAAGTGTAATCACACAACCTGTCTTGTTCCTGGATGACAATACCTCCAAAATATTGATGGAAAGAGTGAGAGGAAGGTGGAGTGGGGAGGTTGTCCAACTTAGTCATGATAATACATGATACAGCTTCTTTTTAGGGTAAAAACTGAGGCTGCAAACATAATGAGAACTTCCCAGCAAATTCATTATAACAAAGCATAGTGCAAGCTCTCTGGCCACAAAAAATGGACCCAAGGAAAGTGAGTCCCACTGAAGACCTAATTAAATACTTTGATGTCAGAAAGCAGAGCAAGGAGCATTGGAAAATCAAGTCTGACCAATATGAAGGGCCTAAATTCACGTGGAAAAAAAGAAATAGCTCTCTTCTTCCTATCTCTCTGTCTCTGTCTCTCTTTCTCCATCTCTCTCCCTCCACCCCTTCCCCACCCTTCTCTCCTTTTCTTCTCTTCCATGAAGGAAGACTAAGACTCAGGAACAATGGGCTGTAAATTCTTCAGCCAATTAGCCCAGTGACTTACTACTGTTTCTAATGCACAAAAAGTCGCAGGCTGTTTTGTAGCTGCCCCAAGTCGGTTTGTTAATAACAGGAAGCTAGCACTTCTCAGTACAGTGGATCAAGCTACACGTGAAAATAAATGCAAAAAACCTGGAGGGGAATAGCAGCAGACCGAGAGTAGCCTTGATTTAATTTAACATTTGGGGTCCACACACATGAGCGTTTTAGTAGGCTTCATGGTGGAAGTTGCTGTCATTTGTAAAATATTCTGGCCAATTAGCTAATAGTGTGCTTGGATTTCTCCTGTTTTGATACAGTAATACTAAGTACATTGTGAAGCCCAATTATACAAATCATCCCCATATGCCATACCAGTCTTTCTTTATGAACTGTGTTTATAAATCCTGTGTGAGGAAATGTGTACTTCAGCAATTTAGACCATGTGTAAAAACATAGCCAATGGGATTGTCAAGAAAACAAGTTCCAGCCTAGGAAATCCTAATGTGCCCGGCTGGAATAACAGGAGGGTGCCGAGAGGGCGACTGGGCTGGAGGGCGATGCTCTCCCGGCTCGCATACTTGTCACTTTACAGCGCTTAACCAATTTAGGTGATCCCGCTTCCTGTGCTGGTGCTTTCTTCTTTCCTTTTAGGATCCAACCTTGGAGATTTTGAGAAAATTTGGGATTGGTTTTGTCTCAGGAACAATGGGCTCAGTCTTCAACATCCCCTTTGATGTTGCCAAGAGTAGGATCCAAGGGCCTCAGCCTGTTCCTGGAGAGATCAAGTACAGAAGCTGCCTCAAAACAATCTTGACAGTCTACCGGGAAGAAGGGTAACACATCCTCTCTTTAATTAATATGCAAGGCTTAGGGGTTGTTAAAAAATAGTCTTGTTGGTCCGTTTTCATGAGAGCCAGCAGGCATTCCGAGGCTGGGCTTGGGTCTAAGGAGCTCTGTGGCATACATGACAAGATTTGCAAGGCCACACAGTAATGAGACATTGGCACAGTGTCTGTCCACCACCGTGATCACGCAGAGAGGCCTGACTGTACAACACAACGTGCTGAATGTTTGCCCGAGAATGTGCGGGTACACTCTTTCTTTACCTGTCATGTGGGTGGTATTATTGTGTGTTGTTTGTCCCATTTAGCATGTGGACAGAATCTTGTCTTCCGACTGAAAATCTAATCAAAATTTTGTCTGATTATATTCTCCTAAGAGAATTATATATGAGTATTCTGAAAACCTGGATTCTTAAATTTTTAGGTATCTGCCTTTTTCTGATCTTTTTTCTAAGTTGTAGTTTCTGTCTCCTTTCTCCTCATCCCAACAATATTCTCCAGTAAACAAGTGATACTTTATTATTTTGATCTAAACTGCATTATATTTCCTAATGTGAATCCTGGGTCTGTGGTCTTTTAAATTCAATTAGAAAAATCGTTTTGCCTGTATACACAGCTGTCTTGAAAGCAAGAACCATCTCACTGATGAAAGCCAAGTTTCTGATTGGACAAGACCCACGTAGCCTGTAATAAAAAAAAAAAAAAAAACAACTGATTAACTCTTTCCCTCCATCCAATTTGCTGCAGCAAATACTGAGCCAGATACTGTTGGGTTGGGAGTGAGTGTAATTTCAAGTAGTTTCTTGACAAATGCTGTGTGAGCCTCTCAATGAAGCTGGGGTCTAACTACCTATTTCCAGAATAAGAATCTTGTGTCCCCCCCTCCACTTCTGTTACAGGATTTTAGCCTTATACAAAGGCCTACTACCCAAGGTGATGAGACTTGGACCAGGTAACAATGATCTCACTCTTTATGTCTTTCCTTCATCATAGCTCTAATATCTCTTCTTTTGTTACTTGTGTGGATCAGGAACACTACAGAAGCTTACTATATTGGGAGAGAGTGAAAACTTGAGGATAAAAGGTTACCTGTTCAAGACACTGAAAGCATCCATTAGAAACACTCTCCCTTTGTTTATAACTACTGTTTATAGCTTTGCTGGGGGCCAATGAGAGCCAACACAAAGCTAAGTCAGCAGGAAAAGTTTCACAGCCACTGAAGCCTGAGTGAGCTCCAAAACATACGCAGTGGCTTATGGAGAATTTCACAAAGAAACTGGACAGATAAAAACTCTCCCTTGGGCTCCAGGCCCGGTTGTGCTTCTGCCTCACCTTCATTTCCAAAAGAGAAAACACAGAGGACTCGCCTCCCTGAACTTCATTTCCCCACCACCTGAATAGCGTGAAGCTGTTCAAGGCCACTCGCTTGTCCCAGCCTCCCTCCCTCAGTAGAGACTCCTGGCTTGGGCCCTCTCTGAGGCAGGAGGGGGGGGGGTGCTGTCATTCCATGGGAGGCAGCTGCCTCTATGTAAATAGATAAGGAAATAGCTGCTGGAAACTCAACTGCCTGGGCAAATAGCCCTGGATTACAAGCCAGCCTATGATTAAGTATGAGCGCATACCTTCTAGACCACACGCTTTTTTTTTTAAACCAGATTGTGTGTCTCTCCTTAGACATCCTGCTAGTCTTCTCGGGAACACCCTCTCCTCTCTTTGCTATCCCTCCATTTTAACACCAGCGGCCTGCGTTCACACACACGTGCTTACATTCACATCCTAACCTGGAAGGCTGCCCTGGCTCCCCATCTTAGACAAAGAAAAGCAGCACGTAAAATGAAGCTGGAGAAGAGTTCACACTTTCGTGTATTCAGAAGTCATTCCTCATTTCCCCATTTATACCCCGACCTCCATGGGCATTTAGGCGCGGATTATTCTCCGTATTTGAGCTCTAGCCTTGCCTCCAGTCAATCATCGGCCCATGTGTCAAAACCAACTCAGTAATTGTACACACCGGGAGGGCTGTGCATCTCTGTGCTTTTCCTCTCACCAAACAGTGAAACTCTGACAGCAGGCCTAATATTAGCAAAAGTCACAGGACAAAACCCTAAACCAGGTTTTTCAAAAGAGTAGGGATGAAAAGGATAACTGGGGAGAGTGTAGCCAAAATGGTAACTGACTGGAACCTTGAACCAAAACTCTTAAATAATCTGCCCCCAAGTTTTGTTAGAGGCTTTCAAATGTTTGCTTAGGTTTTTAAATGTTCTGCATGAACTACCCTAAGCCACTCTGACATTATAGTCAATGAAAAGCGTTGTTGTGCTGCTGTCCAGCCTAAACCAAGTTGTGAAGAGCCAGTAACCTAATGGAAACTCCTGGCTTCTCCTGCATTTCAAATGTGCAAGTCCTAGGGACACTAAATGGGGGCGGGGGGGAGTCAGAGGGAAACGTAGGACTGTTGAGTTAATGCCAATCCTATTTAAGGGGGAAGAAAAAAGAGAATATAAAAGAAGATGGGGCCAGGGGGATGGCTAGAGTGGGTAAAAGTACTTCCCACCAAGACTGACAAGCTGACACCATCCCGCCTACCTACCCCCAGGGCCTTGGGACTTGGTGGAAGGAAAGAACAGACTCCTACAAGTTGTCCTCTCACCACCTCCTCACACATACCACTGGGGTGGGGGCAAATCTCAAATAAAATTCAAAAGTTAAGCTTAAGATACATAGGGTTGAGGTGGAGGTAGCTCAGTGGTAGAAAAGGTAGCTAGCATTCACTAGGCCCTGAGTTTGAGCTCTAGAACCACAAGTAAGAAAAAGAGAGGGAAAGGAGGAAAGGGATACGACTGGAAGGTGTGGAGAGAGGGAGGAGAGGAAAGAAAGCAAGAAGGCAGTGGAGGGGGTACCCACACTTTTCATCCTTCATCCTGGAGACACATTTGACCTTGTTTTAGTAAATGCTTTAGCAGCCCTACTTGACTAACAACGAGGTGGCACCTCCAAAAGAAGCAAGTCTGAGTTCCTCTCTCTCTCTCTCTCTCTCTCTCTCCATCTCTCCCTCCCTCTCGCCCTCTCCCCCATCTCTTTCTTTCCCCTCTCCCCCTTCTCTGGAGTGGGGTGCAAACGTGTGCTTGCCTGTTCTCTCTGTTTGTGAGCAGTTAGTAAAAGTAGATGCAACGGTCACGTACACGTGAACAACCTCTGTGGGGCTGCTTCTTGTTTGTTTGCTCATTTGTTTGTATTGTTAGAATTCCAGTAGAGCTATACCAGCTGAATGGAGTTTAATAGAGTATCTTCATGGGTTAAAAATGAAAATTACAGGCAGATAATTATCTTTGGTTTACGGTTACACAAACATGTGCTGCCTGGAGATTTAAAAAAAAAAAATCATATGGCAGTGTGTGCAAAATAGCTAAGATCCAAATCAGGCCCCTTTCCTTTCCAAGAGAAGTCAACCCTCCACTCCTGCAGCCAAGCTGTTGTAAGTCATGATCTGAGTATTTGTCCACGTTTGGGTTTTGTAACACTTTTTTTCACACAGTTAGGCCATTCCACGTCATAGAACATAGAACACATTCTATTTGCTACATCAGGTAGAACACAAAGTGATAGCTAGGCAAAAGGCTTGCCCCCGTGTGCAGGCATCCGGCATCTTCCACGCGTATCTTCCTGAGTCATCTTCCTGTTGATGTCTTTTACAGTAAACCACTTCACAGCCAGTCATTCTCATCTAGGGTAAAGGGTGGTCCCCTGCCACCCAACCCTAATTCCAAAGCTCCAAGTTCAGATCTGTATACTTGAGGAAGATATATGAAATGATGCTCAGCTTCCAACTTCTTTTTGTTGAGTTTTGCAAAGCAGAGTCTTAAAACATTCAGAAAGTAACTCCAAAACAACACAATCCAGTTTCAAAGCCAGACTCATCTGTCAAATCACGGTCTTGGAGAATTCTTTCTTGAATACAACTAAAGATGTTGCCAATTCTGCCTGAAAAGGAGAAATCTGTTGCCTAGATGGGAAGAATCTGAAAGTTTTTGTCTGCGGAAAAGCCGCATGCCTTTACATGACTAAATATGTCTTCATTTATTTACTTTTTTAAAAATTGAAAGTGCCTGAAAAAGAATCTGATGAGAAATGATGAAAGTTGCAGAAACACAGAGGGAGGAAAAATGTATTTGGAGACTCAAGATGGTCTTGATTTTACCCTGAGAATTTTCCGTAATTGTCGTTTTCTATCTGTGCATCAGAGCTCCAGAACTGATGGTTCCAAGAGCCCCAGCCTGATAAGGCCTTCCTTCTGAGACTCGGTGGTGTGGGGGCGGGGGGGAGCAGTGCCCTGCCCTTCTGCCCTTGCAGAGGACTGTGACGAGATGTGCCTGTCTGCCCTAGGCGGTGCGGTGATGCTGCTGGTGTACGAACACGTCCACTCATGGCTGCAGGAGAAATGGTGAGAGGCGGAAGAGTCTTCCCCTCAGCCCCTCCAAGAGAAGACAGTCGGCCAAGCTAGACGTGCTGGGAGAAGGGAAGATGGCCCGCCCGAGAGCAAAGCCTGTTCTGGTGTTTTATAAATTTGTAGGCAAAGTGACATGGCAGTTTGGGCCATGCACATGACACTGTGAGAAGCAAACTAACATGAAGCAGTGGAGTGTAAGTTAGGTAGAGATAGGGTAGAGCTCAGAGGCAGTTCATAAAAACTATGCGAACTTCCTGACTCACGCTGCCTCGCCATGAAGACGCATTTAATAATTTTTTTTTCTGAGAAGTCTATAAATACTTAAATTCTTGAAAATAAATTGTCCTGTGGCTACTTCCCTGAGAATTTTTTCAAAGAAATACTGAGGAATGAGCCAAAATTTAAGCACTTTTTAAATAAGGAATTACTTTTCCATAAATCATATTGTAAAAGATAAGAAAGAAAAAATTTAAACACACCAAAACAGCTTTTAGAGAATGTTTAATTTTGTGAGTGCTGAGTTAAATTATGAGTCTATTGGTTTTCTCTAGCAATAATACACCGTTGGGCTCTGCTCTCCTAAATCTATTTTATATTTCACATGGTGATGTAAGTGGGTAATTTTAAATCATGCTACTTGAAGTGTTTTATTAAAAATAAATGATATTATATTCATGATATTATATTCAACTGCTTTCTTTTTCAAAGTTCATTTTGAAAACAAGTTTTATTACTGAAATATTTTTTTTATGTTAGGTCACAAATTGAATGAATTCTTCGGGCCCTTCTCTGTTGCCTGTATTTGCCTTGAAATACCTTGTTCCTGAGCCTTTACCTACGCCATTCTTTAAAAAGATGTAGGAAATAAAGCTGTTTCTCCAGATTCTTAGGTTTAAGTGACATATTTAAGTACAAAATCAACTGTTTAGAATATTAAAAATGTCTACACTAAGAGGGAAATGTTTCTAAATGAAAATACATTCTTCAGCATTTTCAAGTAATCTTTTTTTTTTTTAAAAAAAAAAAAAGATAGCTTTTTGGTCTTGATACAATGAAAGCTTATTTTTATGACTATCCCCAGAAACAGAACTACTTTAAAAATGTTTAAATGACACCTGTTCTTAACTGCTACTGTCAACTATTTCTACTATGAGGAAACCTCACCAAAACATTTTGAAAATAAACAGTAAAGATGACATGGTAATTATTTGTATTTATTAACTTAGAGCATTTGAAGTATAAAAATAAAAGGCTTTTGACACACTGTATATACATACATAGCCTTCTGTTGTACATCTTTTCCAACATGCTTTTTTTTTTTTAATTTCAGCCTGATATATGGGTCATTAAAAACAGAGAGCTAGGAGCAGAAAGAATGGGTTTGTGTGGCATGACTCTTTCTGTCCTTGAATGTAATGCACACTAGCATCCTTTGAGAGAGGACGAAAGGCACAGAGCGGTGTAAAAAAGGAATTCTGAAGGTAACTTAGAAAATGGTACCCTCTGAGAATCAGGAGGAGGTTAGTGCCAATAGCAACACTTTTAAAGATCAGGCAGTCCCCGGGTCTACTGGTTTCCTGTTCTTTCTTTCTAAAGTGGCTTCAAATCAGAAGTGGCCATCAATGGCCAGCTCTATCTAGGCTTTCTGTGGTCTTTTGAGAACTGTTCCATGTAAATTTACTGTTACTAATAAAAAAAAAACCTGTGAAGAAGAGTGAAAGTGAAAAAGAAAACTTTGATACCGTTAATATTAATTTCTTAAAATACAAAAACCAGAAAAATTATAAATAACAATAAGATTTCTTAATTTAGATAAGAAAAATAACATTAACAGTTGTATTTCTATACAAGCATTTGATATTTCTCAACACCCTAACAGCCACCTAAGATGTTTAGATAAAGAATAGTTCTATACCTTAAGTCAGTTTTTCTGGATGGCAAGTACGTTCCTGTAACACATGGTTTGAAAGTCTCCCCAAAATACTGGATTGTAGCTTTGTGCCATCCAGTTACAGTCTATATTCTCAGCACACTGGGGACTCCAGACGTCAGTGGGGAGATTTACAAGATCAAAGCCCTGAGAGTTCATCGACTCCTTCTGCATATTCTTCTCCTGAAGTTATAATCCTGTTTGTAGCAATGAGTGTCAGTTGCTTTAGAAAGAAATTCAGTAAGAGGCTCTCTATAAGACATCTGCTGTTTGGAAAAGAGAGAGAGAGAAAGAGAGAGAGAGAGAACAGTTCCTTGAACACAACTGTGTGTCAAAAGTCTGCTTAAAAATTAGCTGATGTAGCCATCCAAGCTGGAGAAGAGGATGAGACCTGGGTGGCTGCACTGGGTTGCTCTGTCAACTGAGCACAGCACAAAAACAAAGAAACCAAAGCTGCCCACACACTGGTATCTTCCACATCCACATCTGGAGAGGCACCTGTTTAGTTACTGAATGGGATGAACCAAGACACCCAGCGGCAGTACATTGCTACCCCAGCAGACAAACTATGCCAACATCCTAAAACTTCACTTTAACCCTATTTTGCCAAGCAGGAGGAACCTCCTAAGCAGAAGGAATTTGAACTGTTGAATCTTGCCATAGAGAATGAATTATTCTAAAATAAAGCATATAACCATGTGGTCTCTCTCTCTCTCTCTCTCTCTCTCTCTCACACACACACACACACATATATCCAACAATATTCATAACATTAAAGTAAAAACAAATTGGTCTAGAAAGGCTTAGAAGTTCTGTTCTGTAATTCCATAAGTGAATAAAGGGAATTTGCTAAAAATTAAATAGCATTTGTATTTCTAATACCAACACCAATTGACCTACATGTGGAACATGCTTCACACACAATGTAAACGTCACAGCAAGACATTGTTACATTCATTAGAGCAGAATTCTCCATTTCCTTTTAAGTTACAAGATAATTTGGGGCTGAGATTGCTGAACACACAGGTAAGCCAACAAAAACAGTACAATTTCATTTTCACAGTGGTTTTTCATTACATAAAGTTCATCTTAAGTGTCTTTGTAAAAACATTTCACATTAGGCTTGTTTCTAGGTGACTTCCTTTAGATCCTTGCGGTACTGGTATGTTACAGCCTCTTGTTGTCCTGTGCTTGGCATATGTGTTGTTCGACTGGGATACAAATCGGAAACTGGCTTGTTTGATCTGTGTGTGAGTCCTCTGCTGTAGAAAGTTTCCTTCAGGACATGCTGAAGCCTTTGCTACACACACAACCTGGACGGCAAGGCCAGGTCCAGGAGCCCGGGTGGCCCACCACCAAACAGAGAAAAGGAGATTGCCAGAAAGTCACCTTTGTGAAAAAAAGAAAGAAAAAAGAGAGGTGGTGGTGTTGGAGGAGAGGTACCCCATGGAATGAAGACACAAACATATTATCCACAGTCCGTATTTATAAGCTAATAGAAAAACAAACATTACTGTATCAGGAACCAGGTCAAAACACCAAAAGGAGCAAAATTCCGCTATTGCTTGGGTTCTATACATACTTTCAACAAAATACATCATCTCTTAAAAATAAGCACAAGATCACACAAGTCAGTTATTGATTGTCTTCCTAATGGTGAATTAGGCTTATTTGATCACCTTATTTGATTAGACAGTATCATGACTTGTTTTTTTTTTTTTCCTCTATGTCTGTTTTCCTTTATTGATTTTGCAAAATCTTAACAATTGCACATTTCAAAAGTTCAGGTTGATTTAGAATAAATACACATGTGTGGGTTTACCAAAGACAGGTCTACAAAGTTCCATAAGCCCTTTGAGGGATATAGGTTTCTTCAGTATGTAAAAACAGTGTGCGTGTGGACAACACAAATGTCTTATTCAATCTTTAGAGTTGCTTTTGTTTTTAAATCCTAAAGTTATGCCAGATTTCCTGCAAAAAAAGAGAAGTGACGGCAAGAAATATTTAAGTGTCATCAGCACAAAGATTATGAATCCATAAAGCCAGCTCTTGAGGCAGTAGGGCCGGACCACTGGAGGGGCGGGGAAGCGGGGGGGGGCGGGGGGGGAGGATGTGCTGAGAGGGGGGACCCCAGTGAAGATGTTGGAAATGGAAGTTCCCATCAGAGCGCAGAAGCAGCGACAGAGTGACTACCTTCTCTGGCTGCCTGCATTCCCTTGAAAGCCAGCGATGCGGGGATGTCGCAGTTGTGGGGGGACAGTGGGGTGCTGCCGGCATGTTGCCACCCATGTCCAGCAACATAACCAGAAGGAGCCGCACTGTAGGTCATGTAGGGTGACACTTGGGCTGGAGTAGGGTAAGGAGCCATGCTGGACGCTGATACAAAACTGCTCACAGCTGGGAGGCCATTTGGTGCCTGAGAGGAAGGGAGAAGAGACGAAAGACAACCACGTTTCAGTATTCAGTGTCTCTTCAGTCCTTAGGCACAGAGAAGAAATTCTGAGTTAACAATATTCTGGCTCTATGGCTGGGCTGTCTCCCCCCACCACCCTCCCAGACTTCCTTTTAACCTTACTTTGACCTAAAAGTATCCAGTCTTGCTACTTAAACAAACACAGTGCTGAAAAGCAAGACACTGTTCTTTCTACAAACGTTTCTGGAAGCTACGGCTAGAAAATTCACGGTTCTTACTTTTGTGCTTTGAAAGTATACGAAGGCGAGGTGGGCTGAGAAAGTCCCAACCCAGATTCAGAACCTTGAAAGTCTGCTCAGCTCCCCACTGCCTTTGTCAACCTTACTGGCACTCCGGTTTGGTTGGGCTCTTTTGTTGAAGCTTTGTGACAGGCCTGTCTCCTGGAGCTTTCATTTCCAGGACAGAAGGGTGCAAAGTGTGGTTTGCTGCACTGAAAACTCAAAACGAGCAAACCTTCTGTTAAATAAAACGTGGGCCATATTTAAGGATGTCATGTTGAAAACATCATTTGGACAAGGACATGTAAAATCAGGACTTTTCAAGTAAGGTTTTTTTTGTTTGTTTTTTGTTTTGTTTTGTTTTGTTTCAATCGTTGTTTGAGTTGAAGTTTGTTTCCTTAATAAAGTTTGAGAATACTTTTTTTCAAAGTTTTTATCAGAAAGGAAATTTTCCCCACAAATATGAATGAATACGCACAATTTTGAAATTGGAAATTTTGCATTTGCAAAGTTCAGGTTTTTTTTTAAGCCATATGGACAAATCTTTTTAAATGAATTTAGTGTGAAATCTTTGTTTGCAAACAAAATGCAACAGCTCTGGCAGGCAAGCTTGCCTAGAAACCAGCGCTTTCTTGGCACCCAATAAATCATTGTTGGTATCGTTACTATTAACAACACCAAAAACACCCTGATTTTTAATCCCTCTCTGGCATGAATACTCCCCACCCTTCTTCAAGTGGTTCATTTTTTCCTCTCAGTTTCTACTCTGTTTAAAGATAAAGAGTAAATCTTGTTTCCTGGTAATGACATGACCGAACTAACATGCCAACGTATTTCCTAGTGAAAAAGTAATGTAAATACTGGAATTGCATTAGAAAACATGATTTAATCCCTAGAGCTCAGTAAATCAGACACATATTAGATGCTTTGTCCAATTAAGTTAGGACACAAACGGTGCTTTCATTTTGTGTGCTCAGGGAGAGCCAGACTGAGAGTCACGGTTTGTAAACATCGAGCATGCAGTCCACCGGGAAGCTGCATCCCTTACCGCTCTGTCTCAGAAGCTGCTTTGTGAATTAACTCCTTCGGTCACTGCTTTTACTTCCACATCTATGAGAATAGAATGGTGAGGTATAAAAGCCTATTTTCTGAATGTAAAAGGATTATCTATGCATATGTATGTATATACATGCATACATGTATATGCTAGAATACATATATGGATGTGGATTAGCATTGCCCATAGATTCCGACAAAACATCACTTTCTATCTTTGGTCTATAAGAACACACATCTTATATTCTTCTGTTTGTCATTATATATTCTTTTAAAAATGGGAGAGAAAAGAAAAGACCTTTGAGTATCCTATATTCTAAGCACCCAACACCTATAAAGTATGTTATCCAACATACTTTATAAAACTGTAAAGATTAATATATGATAAGCTCATCCTTGCAGTGGTAGTGCACACCTTTAATTCTGGCACTCAGGAGACAGAGGTGGGCAGATCTCTGTGAGTCTGAGGCCAGCCTGGTGTGCAGTGAGTTCCAGGACAGCCAAGGACACAGTGAAACCCTGTCTTCTAAAACAAAACACACACACACACACACACACACACACACACACACACAATAGCTCATTATAAACTCTTCAACTTATCACTATTACAAGATAATAGATATATCAGAGTACAATGTAATGTTCAATTGGAATTTAAATGTTTTTGTTTGGGGTTTTGGAAGTTGTGACTGTTCTGGAACTCACTGTGTAGACCTGGTTGACCTCAAACCACAGAGATCCGACTGCCTCTGTCTCCCAAGTTCTGGAGTTAAAGGCATGCACCACTATGCCCACCTTCTGTTTTTAAATGGGATCTCACTATGCACCCAGGCTGGCCTCAAACTCCTACCCTTCCAGCATTAGCCTTCCAACCAGAGTTCACAGGTATACACCACTATACCCAGATGACTTTAAAATATATTCCCAAGGGCTCAAAACAATTAATGAGGAATTGATTAAGAATTAACAATTAATTCTTAGTGTTGCTCAGTAAAACTGAAGTTCTCCCTTCTTTTCACACAAAGCCATTTAGAAAGTTAATGGCCATACATTTAAAGTTCGCTAGTCCAGCCCGATACTGCAAGTCTTCTTTAGTCTACCATGTGTGGAAGTGGAATTTAACCTCAAACTACAACAATACTATTAAGTGATACTTTCTTCTCTTAGAACACAAATCTCTTTATTTAATTTTTTCCTTTCCTTCTAAAAAAAAATGTTATGCCCCCTTTTGAAGAATAATTATGTCTCTAAGAAGCTTACTGTAGAGCTCCTGGGGAATGAAAATCTAGGTGGGCATCAGATTACACGGGAAGGTGGGGTATAATCTAGCATTACGGAGAAATTATTGCTCTAATTTCTTTCATTCATTATTTTATGATTTTATTTTCCCCAAAATGTGTTAAAAATTAGTTTGAAATGTAATCGTGCCAGTAAAATTACAGAAAGGTGTTTGCATCTGTGTTTGGAACTTGCCTACGATTAATTAGCGTTAATACTAGTAGAATCAGTGTGCCCTCAGAAAAACAAAGTAAGAGTATTAAGATCTGGTGGTGTAGCTCGGTGGTGGAACACAGTCTTTGTTTAGCATGCATATAACCCTGGGTTCAATCTCCAACATAGGAGGAAAATGTTAAAATCAGTTTTAAAATAATAGAAAACCTAACTATATTTTATAAGTGCCTAATATCAAAAGATTTAATATGCTTGGTAGAATAATGATCCATCTAGCAGAAAATACCTGTTGTCAAATTTTATTTCCCATCACTGGGAAATTTTTCCTACCTGTCCTTTTGGTGGCGGGCAGGGGCATAATTTATTACTTACATCCTCATTTTTGAGGCACTAAATCTATTCTGTTGTTGTGGAGCCCACTAATTTATGCCCAAATATGATGCCCAGAAAGACTGGATGAGACGCTCACCTCAGATAATGCTTCCTCCATGAGGAAGCAAAAGCTCTACTCTCCCATGCCTTATTTACTCCATAACTATATTCATTTATCAAATGTAATAATATCCTGTTAATTTCGTATCTACCCAGCTTCTCATACCTAAAATACTAAAATCGCTTTGTGTTATTATCTGTGTTATTACTATTTCAAGGTTCTCAATATGCTGTTGTATTTACTGGCTGTCAGTTTAGTGGCCCAGTCCCCTCTGTGTTGCAGAGAGACCCCCCCCCCAGAGGGTCACAGGTTCAGAGGCAGCTTCTCATCCTGTACAAAGGGAGGCCAGTGTTCACTTACAGGAAGAGAAATAAGTAGAAATCCCCAACCTTAGAAGAGTAAGAACTCACGTCTACAACCTGTCCAGGACAAGACAGTTTTCTCTCATTCTGCTGTTGGGAGTTCAGATTTCAAATTGGGGGACGGGGGGAAGGTTGGGAGAATAAACAAGAAAAAAAAAAAAAAAACAAGAAATGAATGTGTTTCAAAATGTTCCTGCCCCCTTCATTGTTCATTTATTCCAGTGGCTCAATAAATACCAATTTTCTCACCGTTAATTTTGAAACATGACATTAGCAAAAATAATAAATCTCCACTAGGCGAAGTGATTGTTATTTACGAAGAAATCACTGAAAGAGTAAAATTTTCCACAGCAAAGAAAAACAACCACAGGTAGCAATGGTGTTTGTTTATACTTTCTAGTAAAGGAGTAAACTTAAACTTGAACTCCCCAAATCTGCTTAATGTTTTCAGTGAAGGGCATGTAATTAATCTGAAAAGCTAGTTAGGCTCAGTAGAGACTCCCAAATGTACACCATAAATATAGTAGGGCAAACATGCTAAATTACACTATTTAATTGGATTGTAAATATGACTTATAAATCAACCAACATATGGAATCCCGAGGGGAAAGTAAACAAATTTTCCAAATGAAACCCTGCAATAGAAATGTAATAGAAATCTCATTTTTGAAAATGACTTCACCTTAATATTTCATAAATAAGACTTCAACTCATCAACCTCCCCCTCCCCTTCACACAGATCTTCCAAGAAAGCAATAAAAATTCTGCTCTCTGAAAGAACTCTGTAACTGCCCTCCTCACTGCCAGATACCAGTCTACTTAATTTGGGAAATGAAATTCACTAATAAAAAGTGAAACAGCAGGGCATGATGGCACACATCGGTGATCCCAGCACTCGGGGAGGCAGAGGCAGGTGGATCTCTGTGATTTCAAGTCCAGCCTGGTCTACAAATCAAGTTCAGGACAACCCCTGTCTCAGGGCCAGGGGGGGGGGCACAGATAAATTGCAGAAAACTTACTCCAAAGAGAGTAAGTTTTCTTTGTTGAGTTGTCTCCAGAAAAGACAGCTTTTAACTCATTAAAACTAGAAGAAATCCAGAAAAATACTAGCTTGCATAGCTATATAAGCGACCATGCCATGGCTGTCCTGGCAGACCGCGGGAGGACAGGGGCTTGACTCAATCACCTTGTAGGATCAGACAATGGGACACACCAGAGGCACTTCATGAACAACTTGAAGACTTGTGAATGAAAAAGATAGGATTTTTCTTGTTTTCAGAACAAAACAAAGAGCTAACCACCCCCTCCCCTTTATCACAGAACCAGCATTTACTTCAAGCAAGCCAAATGAGCAGAGCTGTTGGCAAAAGTAAATAAGAGTTCTAACCAGCCATTTCACTATTTGATTTACGGTTGTTCTGTGTACTCCTCCCTAAGAAGATGGAAACGCGTTAGTATCCAAACGCTTGTGACCATGGGGGGTGGGGGAGGAAGGGGGAGAGGAGAAGAAGCTGGTATGACAACAGTTTGGAAATGAGAAGATAAAGACTATTTTTTCAAATTCTGGGAGTTGTCCACTCAACATTTTCTCCCTTGAAGAAAATGCAAGTAACAGCCTAGTGCCAGGTTTTCTGTTTCCCAGCCTGCCTGCCAGCCACTCATCAAATCCACGTGCTCTTTCCATTCTAGTAACAGGAGTTTGCCCTGGATTTGTGATAAAATAGATTTGGCCATGAAAAAAATTGTGTTTCACATATATTTACAATATCAGTTCATAAACAAAAACCAAATACATCTGAAAATAAGCAGCTATTTTTGAGAAATTATTTCTCCGAGAAATAATTTTTAAGTTATCTTTCTAACTACTATTTTTCCTTTCTTTATCATGTAATGAAGTGACAGTCAGAAATGGGTTAACATTCATTCAAGAGAATTACTTTTAGTTACTCTATTTCAGGTAATAGAAATCCAGGGCAGTACTTAATTTTTTCTACATCTTATGTTTCTAAACTGTTATAAAAACTTATATAGCCTTACATTGATTTGTTTAATTTTATTTGTATTCCATTGACATGCGACAAAAATTATATTCATCCCGTAAAGAGTGATGCTTTTATGCATACATTGTGCCATGACCAAGTCATTCAACATGAAAATCACCTCAGGTACCATAACATAATAAAAAAAAAATTCAGAATCCTTCCATCAGTGATCTGAACTTACAGTCTTTTAAATTACCTTTTGTTGCTGTTTCACGTGACACACTTTGCTGATATATAATTATTATTAAGTTTGTTTAAAAATACCATTGGTTGAAAATTAATCAAATCAGACCAGGTTTTCATAATAAGTATGATGAAATTCAAAAACTATTGGCATTTACCTAAAATTTCATTCTCTATAGAATTATAAATTAATTTAACAAAGTTAACTTTGTCTGCTGTAAAGAAAATTCTGAGAAACCTTCATGAAAATAGTGTGTTCAAAAGATGAGTTTTAAGATTTTTGCGCTTGTTTTTTTAATTATCAAAAGTTTTAAAAATTCTTCACTAGGAAATTGCAAGCAAGATGGTTCAAGTGTATCATTTAAAATAATGCAGAAATGAAGACTTTATGAGTATTTTGTATTAAACTACACCTTTAAATTCAGCTGTTTTCACAATTCTTTTAATTCAGAACATTTTATTATATGTATTTATAGGCTATTTTCTATTCCTGGCATCTCAATTGCTAACTAATGTTATATTGAACTTATTGCCTACATTAATATATTCAACCCCAAAATGAAGATACCAGCAGCTCATATATATCTATCATTCATATTACCCTAGAATACCGTATTACTCTGAGGAAACATGCCTGTTTGGGGAAAACTTTTCATAAACTATGTATTTATTTATGAACTGTGTGAGTAAAATCAATTATCAATTTACTAAATTCCATGTAAAAGAACAGATATAACCCAACAGCTATGTTTATGTATTTCATTTTTTTCTACCTGGATCACATCAGAATTTTGTGTTTTCATTTGGCTAAATAGAAAGAAGAAGAAATCATTGTTTCCCTTCAGAGTTAGATGAGAGTAAGGAATTCCTGCCCGATAGCAGTTGAAAAGTCTAAGATAAATAAATATTCTAGTCTAGTCAACAAAGACTTCTGAATGGGGTTTCAATGAGTTATAATACAACAATAATGTGTAGGATAAATTTGGATATTCAAAACTAATTTTCAAATACAGTGAATAGGTACATGCATGACTGAAATGTATATGCAGTTCTAATTCCTAGGAAACAGGCCTCTTTGCAGTTTAGGCTGAAATTAGAAACTCTGGGTCATGATTACCACGAGTATCAGTACTCAGCTGCCAGCTTGTTCCATGGTCATTTTACAGGTGTGTCTTCCAAGAAAGCATGCCCTAAGCTGTGAGTGCGAGGACTCGGTCTCTACCTGTGCACACTCAGAGAAACTAGCATTAAAGAACAGCAGTAATCAGCCACAACTGCAAGTGCACGAAAGTATCACAGACCTTTTTTTTTTTTTTTCAGCTTTCCTTTGTCAAGGACTTTCGAGTTTTGTTGGCCAGAGGGGTAAATGGTACCTGAGTTAACCTTTTTGTCAGAATATGCTAACATTTTTGTGATGGGAGAGAGCACTTGTAAAATTAAAGTTCGCTTTAGAATATTGCAAGAGAAATTCACATGTATGTAATACTTATCCGTTCTTAGTTCTTATGGGTTTTTATGTAATTTTACGTCAAATCAATGTATAAAGTGAAGTATTTGCCTCCTTAACACATCTCCAGTCTTCATCATGATAGAGCAGCCACTGGTTTCTGTGGCGTTTAGAAACTCTGCAGGCTTTGTGTTTGTGTCATTTGAACTATCTGCCGACATGGCAGTATGGAATAACATTTTGGTTAAGAGCTTTTCAAATATTAATTTGACATAAATATTCTTTTATTTGGGGGCCTGTTCTATTAAGCATCATAATATTTAGAATGACATTTACTTGGACCCTTTCCTTAAATTATTTGCACTTATACAACATAATTTTGTATTTTAAAATTCTTTGTAAATGATTTTTAGGGAATTACAGCAAATTACTCGAAATGCTGTTTATTTTCCATAAACTCTCAGTTTAGTTTTGAAGCACATTATTATAAATTAGCCATTCCTAAACAAGCTTCACTGACAGATACATCATTCAAGGGGTGGGGATGAAAGCTGGTATGAAGGTTCTGGGTAAGGAAACTGCTTTTTATGCAAACGGGATTCATTGACTGCTTGTGGGAATTGGAGCTTATTTTGAACCCTGGACTTTACAACATGATCCCAAGAAGCCACGAGCAACAGAGAGCGCTGAGCCCCTGTGAACCGCCCGTTACTGTCCTCCGTGTTCTGTGTACTCTTCCCATTGTTTGTTACAAACGCTTGGCGGAATGTTTCCTACTGCAGATTTTCTAAACAAACCATGTTGTGAATATCACTTGCTTTTAAAAGTCAGTCTCTGGCTGCCACTTATAACCACAGGGGATAGTTAATGAACGTTTCCTCAGAGCCGCCTTGGTGTGCTGCCGCTTTTGACTTCGGGACTATTAGTTCCTTATTTTGAAAATGAAGTAAAGGAGGCTCCGCATGGGTAAACTGCTTTCTTAAGAAGCTGCGGCACCAACGCCCCGGGGTGCACAGGGCCGCTCTGGGGGTGCACAGGGCCGCTCTGTGGGTGGAGCGGGGACAGGCAGGCAGGCCGTTTAGGAAGGAAAATGGGAATTTGCTGTGGACAGCTCATCGTAGTCTTCACAGTGGAGCCGGGAGGAGTAACGCAGCTCCCTGTCCTGGCTGTTTTGGGTGTTATTTGCCAGGGAACAGTTAGCCGCTAATGCAGTCTGACAACGTGAGAGGGACGGGGAAATAGAAATGTGATTTGTCAGCGAAAATGACCATTAGGATGTTCCCCCAACGGATGAGAATAATAAGTTCCAATAAATATTATAACTGACTTTGACAAGACATAAACAAGAAATGAAGGCTTTAAGATGGGACTTGGAGGTGGAGTCTGCTCAGGAGGACCTCGCGCCTCCTTGAGGTCCGCCCTTGAGTTCTGAACTCTGCCTTCTAGCCTTCCGACGAGATTCGGGCTCACGCTTGTGTGGCGCTGACTGAGTTCTTCTCCAGGGGAAAGGGGGAAACACGAGTGTTTTAAATTTTCTCTCGGAGAGCAGAGGGAGGGGCGGGTGCGGGCTGGAAATTAAACGGTCCACAGCCAGTCCGTATAATTTGAGGTTTTCTCACTAACCTCCCTGGGGAAATTACACTGTGACCTTTAATCGGGGAGTGGTAACTTTGTTAGGTTTATCTGCTTGCCCCTCTCCCATTGTTGCCGGACGAGCTGGTCCCTGCAGGCTCGGGCGGGCGGGCGAGCTGTATGCGCGCCGGCCCCGCAGCCTCGCACCAGCTTGGCAAACCCGCTGTTCTGAACCCCAGGGCCCGGCCCTTCCGAAGCTCGGCCTCGGCTAACCGAGCCCCGCTCGGTGTGGTGGGAGGCCCGGGGCCACACGCGCTGCGCCTTCTACTCAGCTCTCGGCCCAGGCTCCGGTCTAACCCGGAGCCAGCTCCTGGCCCCGGCGGGTCTCCGGCCCGTCAAGGCTCTGACACGCTCAGGGTCTCCATCTCCCCATCCTCTAAACCAGAAGGCCAGCCAGACCTTCTCCTCTCACCTGGCCGTACTTGGCTTCCTGCTCCAAGGCTCCCTTTTCCAGTCCATTCACTGCGTGCGGGGCGGCGGCAGGGAAGTTGTTGCGGCCCAGGCTGCTCCACTCCTCCACCTTGGGGCTGTGGTAGGGGGAGCTGTCGCTCACGCCTGCGAAGGTGGAAGACAGACTTTAGACTGGGCTCAGCCAGCACGCCCCCTCCTGAGACAAAACCCTCATCCCTAACCACAAAGGTCCAGGGGTAAGACCTTTGGTCACGTCCCCTGCACTAGGCCTGCCAGGGGTCCTGGGCCCAAGCACAGACTGCAGATTCCTTTAGTTTTCAGCCTAGGGCCTGGAGAAGTTTTAATGGCCTGAAAGTAGGCCTCTGAGTTAAGTTTCACCCACGCCTGACGGAAGGATTTTTTTTTTTAACAAGCATTAGATTTCCTTTCTCGATTCGTGATCTCCCAGAGAATGGTTTGAAAAAGAGGAGGTTTTGTTTTGTTTTGTTTTGTTTTTTTCAATACGGAAGAAAGAACCCAAACCTGTGATGTCGAATATTTGTCCATCTCCTCTGCCTCTATTGAAGAAAAGTGGCCAAGCTCTGACATTGGGGAGGAGTGATGAGGGAGAGAGGAGCCTTGGCCTAAGTGTGACCTGCTTTGCTCAGAGACAGGCTGAAAAATGCTCACTGCTCCGCCGCCGCGGGGATCTGATAGTTATGTCAATAGGACAGAACAAAAGGCCTGCAAAGTCCTTTGCAAACAAATAACGAAACGATGCCCACACAATACACATGCAAAATATACACGCACAGATTTCCACGCTGTCTGTCTGTGGGACTTCCCTACATCCTTTGCTTCTGCCTGCTAAAGGGATAAGGTTATATGCATATTACTTTTTAAAAGTTAAGTCTGGAAATTCACGCCTGTGATTATAAAGAGGGATTTTTTTTTTAAAGTATCAGAAAGAGAAAATGGAATAAAGTGTTAAGAAAATGAAAGTGGGATTCAATGTTAAGAAAGGGAGTAAGGCCATCTGATTTTTTTTTTTCTGTTCTTAGAGGACATACAAACAAAAAAATCACCTAGAATAAGAAGATTGTCATAGCATCTACAGTTACGCATGTAGGGGAAAAGGATATTTGAAGACTGCATGCACCTAATTCTGCTTCTGAGGCCTGTGTATAGAAATTTCTCATTTAAACTTGAGAAACTTAGCTGTTTCTCGTTTCTATACTTCCATACAATACAGGTGCTGCAAAGACTGGTCTTTTGGATAAGTTACCTTTTTATATGCGTGGATTTGCCAGAAACCTGTTTGTTTAACGTGACACGTCGCAAACACACAACCATATTTACAAGAACGCATTGCTCCCTTCTATAATCCAATACTTTCCTACCTGCCCTTTGGTCTGATTGCAGGATTCCCCAGAGGAAAAAAGTTTTCTTTTCAACTGTCAACCTATTTTCACGATGCCTCCCCCACCAAAAAAAGGCTGCTTTCCCATGTTTGCACCAGGACGCCATGGCTGGTTCAGAACCGCCTGATGGTCTTCTCCTTCCCGGACAAAGGCACAAGTCTGACATTATCTTAAGAAATTGAGATCCCCCTGTGAGCCCCATTTCTGCTGATCTCACACTTTCCCATGGACAGGGGCTTCCTTTAAATGTCAGTGAGGTCAGTTTCTCCTATAAATCAAGGGCGGCATCTCCAACTAAGGCTCCAAATAGTTCCAAACAACCCAAAACTTTACTCTCTTAATTCGCGGTCAGAAAACAAGAGATGGGAAATCGTGCACATGCCAATGTGATGGGGGAAAAAAAAAACAAAAAACAGAAAATCATTACAGGAACTATTCTTCTCTTTCCTATTTATTTTTTCCTCTGCCTGTCTTAAACCTTACACTGAGCAATTAGGCAGTAAGTTGGGCAAATAAAACATTTTAACTTTCTTTTTTTTCCTGATACCAAGAAAGAAGCTAATGTCTTTTAGACTATATTTTTAACAGCACAACAAAAGAAAACAAACTCAAATTTCCTGGGAAAGCTGGGGCGTACGGTGCGGGGAACCGGGAGGGTCTTTCTGGGGAGTCAGAAAAGACGCCCAGGACAGAGCAAGGTGCGGGGTTGAGAAAAGGAAAAAAAAAAAAAAAAAACACCGCTGAAAACCTGCCGGAAGGGCGCCCGCGGCCACCAATACCGGAGGACCCTGAGGGTAGAGGGAGGCTGGGGGGGAACAGTAGACAGCAGCTAACCAGGCAGTGTCACTGCAGGGTTGATAATTAACATTTGTTAAGGGACGGAGTGGGAAGGAGAGAGAGAGAGAGAGAGAGAGAGAGAGAGAGAGAGAGAGACTGAGAACCCGGACCTCCGTTTCCGAGGAAAATGAAGTGAAGCATAAGAACGAAACCAATTAGGTGACATTTGAACTTCCTGCCTGAGCAAATTTGGCCTGATTGCCAGAATCCGAGAATAATAATAGAGTTTCCACAGCGCGCGGGACTCGGAGCTGTCGCCTCCGATCCGCAGGAACGTGGCCGGCAGCGGCAGCTGCAGCGGCAGCCGGCAGCCCCGAGCCGGAGAGGGCCTCCCCCACTGCCCCCCAAGTCTCGGGGCTGCTCCCCTCCAGCCGAGTAACCCGGCGGAGGCCGCGGGCGCGCGGGAGGCGGGGGAGGGTGGAAAATGCGAACCATGTGTTGGGGATGGAGGGGAGGGGGGGATGTTATGGGTCTGGTAGTTTGAGATGAGGCTGCAGACTGTGTGTGTGGCAAGGAAACGGAGGGGCAGGAGTTTCGAGTTAATGAGATCAGGACACCCCCCTGGGAAGACGCCTCAGGTTTCCAAAAGAAAAGGCCACAGGTGGTGGGATCGGCCGTCGCCCGAGGCCCGGGTTCGGCGGCTCCCGACGGCGAGCGCCCCCCCCCCCCCCGCCCCCGAGCCCTCACCTTGGTCGGTGATGGAGCGGATGCCCAGGATGTCGGTGACGGAGTGAGAGGAGGGCCAGGTGCGCGGCATGGCCACCGAGCCGGGGAGCGCGGGCACCCCGGGGGGCGTCGGCACCTTGGCCGCCGCGGCGATGGGGCTGGGGTACGAGTAGATGTGGTTGTAGGGCAGCGCGGGCTGTGGCGCGGGCTGGTGCTGCTTGTAGGAGTCGTAGTGGCCCTGCTGAGCCAGGTTGCCGATCTTGTTGCGCAGGATCCGGCTGATGGAGCTCACCGAGGGCACGTTGTACTTGTCGCACACGCCGTCCGCCAGCAGGCGGTCGCGGATCTCCCAGGCGAAGATGCCCGGGTCCCTCTGCTTGTAAGTCCGGATGTGTTTCACCACGGTCGGGGTGGTGACCCTGGGCTTACTGCCCCCGATCGCCCCGGGCAAAATCGAGCCGGTCTCGTTGTAGCGCGCCAGGATCTTACTGACGCAGCCGTGCGAGACCCGGAGCTGGCGGCTGATGTCACAGGGTCGGATGCCCAGCTGGGCCAACTCCACGATGCGGAGCCGGATGGCGTTGGGCAGAGGCCTTCCGTTCACGAACACTCCCCCCAGCTGGTTCACCTCTCCGAAGGCTGGCTCTGCAAGAGGGGGCACGGGGAGCGCGGCAGCGCGCACCCGCTGCGTGGGACGGCCGCCTGCCACCCGGCCCCCCGCGAGCGTCTGGGGGCAGGGCCCTGACACCCTCCCGCGAAGACTGGGGCTGCCCCCCGAAACCAGACCGTCCCGGCCGGGGCCAAACCGCCCAGAACACGGGCTGCGGCCAGACCTCGCTCCTGCTTAGAGATCTCCAGCTATAAACAACAAGGGGGACCCAGGGCAGCCAGGGACACCCCGAACTCCCCGAGGCGGGCACGGATGCCGAGCCTGACGCGCCAGCGCGCCCCTGGTCGCCTGCTCGGCCCCTGCTCCCCTGCGCTGCCTCACCCCTCCCCTCGGCGAGGTTAGACTCAGCCCAGTGAAAGCTGGGGGGGGGGGGGTTGTTTTGTTCTGATCTGTTTGCACGTGTAAACACGTGTGCCACAAAACTTGGACTGACACTGGGGCTGCGGGACTCCCGGATGCCTGGGCCCTCTCCTCTTAAGCTCGGAATCGAGTGCCATCCCGTAGCGGGGGTTCCAACAGCACCCCCTCTGCCTCCGAGCCTCGTCTGTGCTGGTTGGGACGCAGTCTGCGCGCCCCGGCTCCCTCCCTCCAGCCCTCGCCTGCTCGCTCCCTCCCTCCCCGGTGCTGACAACGTCCCCCGCCACCACTCACCCATTGCTCCGGGCAGTACACCAACCCGGCCCCAGTTCCGCACTCCCAGAAAGGAACTTTTCTCTTGCTCTCCCTGCGTCGGCCTGTGGCTGTCCCAAGCCGCGGGTGCCTCGGCTTCTCCCCGGGAGGAGGCGGCGAGGGTGCCAAAGGGAAGAGTAAAAGGAAGTCTGTGCCCCGCAGAAAGAAGCTTGAGTTCTGCATTTCAATCTAGGCAGCAACGTGGGCTAGGCTGTGCTGGGCCGGGCGGCTCAGTCTATCACTCACTCGCGACACACCCCGAAAGAGGTGGGCCCGCCGGCAATCTGCGCTGTAATTGGTGCAGGCCGGTGAATGACAGCTCAGTCCGGGGAAACTCCTTCCGCTGTCTGTCTCAGGCCGGCTCCGCACCTGGGAAACTAAATACAATGACTATGACTGTTTGACATCTTCCTAGGGGCGCCGCAAACAGAGCGCAGAATCGAACTGGTGAAAGGGCTGACCAAGGGCATGGACGCTGCGGCTTTAGCTTGAAGGACTTGAAGCGGGCAGGGGCCGAGTTTCCCCTGAGGGGGAGAGGTGGATGGAGTTCTCAGAATTGGGATTGGAGGCTGGGCGGCTAGGGAGCTCCGGGCGCGAGCATGACGGAGAACTACCTGTCAGGCTGACCTTTTGAGAAGCGTCGGCCAGAGCCTTGCCCACACAGTCTAGCTCCTTTCAGCCAGCTTGGATGGGAAGTGCTCCGGAGATGGGTGGAGGGGTGGAGGCCCTTTCTCATGCTTCACCCTAGAGGGTTTAGTGCCCCAGCTGAGAACCTAAACCAAGCTGAGTGTGGAAATGCTTAAAACTCCAGACCAAAAGGGAGTTCAGGACCTCCACAGGGAAGGGGGGGGGGGCTGACCGGCGCTGCGCCTCACTCACCCAGAACGCAGGGTCGTGGGCTTCTCTGTGTGACACTTTGCCAGGGTTCTCAACACCAGTGAGCCACCTTGACAGGTCTTGCTTCTCAGTGAAAGACAGCCCCGGGGACACAGGCGCGGAGACTGCCTGTGTGCAGTTCCTCTGCACCTCTCTGTGATTCCCCACGACTTCAGTTTAGCTGCCAGAAACACGAGGGTTCTGCCTGCCTGCGGATTTTCACTTTCATCCACCCGAAGTCCGAGGAGGATAGAACGATTCGGGGAGAAGAGTTTTTATTCGTTTATGAAGACAAGGTCGTGAAGAACGTGAGAAAAGGAAGAAAGAGAAACTCTGTGAATGGATTTGGGGGGTTAGTATCGCGCGGGAAAGAGGAAGGTGTCACCATGTCTCCATGACAGTGGGCCCCTCTTGTACCAACCTCAGGATGTAGGTTGGTGCGCCTACTCCCCTGAGGTTTCAGGTCTACACACAACGAAATCAGACGGATCCCAGCGCTCACCACCAGTAAGTGACAAGAGCCCAGGAAATCTGGCCTTGGATCACCTGTCTTGGAAGTGAACACTGATCTGCAGGTGCCCGCTTCTGCGATGAGCTTGCACTCGGAATTCAAATGACTGAGCCGTGAAGGTTTCTTCAAACGTCTTTTATTATAGTCAGGAATCCCGCAAGGTTTCTGAATACAAACACTTGAGCATAGCCCCCTTCTCTGCTTGTTGCTTTCAAACGTCTTTTCGAAGCTTGGCTTTGTGGCTTACCCTGTCCCCGCTCAAAGCTTGTTCTGTTGCAGAGTCTGATGCCTTATACAAGGAGAGCCTCGGGGAAGCCAGGATTTCAGGGGCTGGGTCTCCCCTCCGGGCTATAGTATAAATTACTTAGACTCCGAGGGTGCGAGGAGAGCGGGCTTTGCCTGAGATTTGTGCAAAGGAAAAAATTAATGTTCTGTCCCCTTGACGAGGAACCTTTGTCCCCATACCATCCCATTCAAGCAGTGTCCTCTGAGTGTGCTCTGCTTGGGTACACCCATTGGCTATTTCACACCCTCCTGAACTTGTAGAAGGCTGGTACAGTGCGCCCAGCCTGTGGACTGGCAAGACAAGGTGTCCTGATGAGAATCTAATGTTATCAACCCAGAGTGATCCAGAGACATGTTTGTCTAGCATGCTGGCTTGGAGATTTAACTCACAGCATCCATCGCCACCCCCTTTAGCTGTCACACACCTCCCTCGCTCTTGCACAGGTTTCTATAGGCTGGGACCTGGCTGTTGGCGGCTCATGGTTTTAGCTGCTGTCCTCGCCCTGGGCATACTGAGCGTGGCCTTCCTCTTGTCCTCCTAACAGAGCATTCTCTGGAGCACAGAATGAATCAACCTTGATCGTTTTGGGCCACTCAGCACCGACGACAAACCAAAGCCTGGTGCTTGGGGACTTCAGGAACTGAAGATACAAAATAGAGGAGAGCCATGCCATCTCCAAGAAGGGACTAGTGTGGAAACTTCCCTTCCCAAGGGCACACAGTGCCCTGGGGCCCAAGTAGCCCGTGATTCTTGGAGTGGTAACAAAAGCCGGGAGGAAGGGGGTGTGTGAGAGGAAGGAAAGCGCAGACGGAAAAGACAGGCAAGGGAGAAGAGCTTCCAAGTCTCGACGAGCCCTGTTGGACGTGAGGGTGCAGGACTTCAAGAAAGTGCAAGGGTCACTGAGGGTCAGGGCTCCTGGTTACTGAGGTCTGGCTCCAGGAGGTCATACAGGAATTGGGAGAATTTCTCCTAAAAGGACATACTTAAGACCAAAACCAAAACAACTAGAAAGGCCTGCAGCTGGCTCCGGCCAGAAAGGAGCCAAAAGCCTTTCCCTAGGCGCTAAGGCCTCCTCTAGTGCGACCCCTTCTCTGGGTAAATATTTACTCAGTAGGAGACTGGAAGCTGGAGGACCAGAGGGTGTGAAAGAGGAGGGAGGTTACTCTAGGATTCTACACACTTGGCACCGGGCAGCCTCCTGTGGAAGCCAAGCCCAGAGGTGCGGAGGCAGCTAGGCCCGCACACTGATGGCGGGGCCTTATCCCCGGGGCTTCTCCTCTTCTGGTGAACCCAACCCTGCCCCCAGCGACCCAGACTAGACACTTGTAAAGTCTTCATAAATCTGTCAGTGGTCCCAGTGTCACGGGCCAGCCACCTGTGGAGCGTCGAGTCCCCCTCAGGCACCAGAGAGGTCTGCGGAGAGATGCGCAGGAAGTGGAAACCGGCTCTTCCCAAGGCCGCGCAGCTGCAGCCAGCACAGGGCGGCCTCCGGGCTGCCGGGGCCTCCGGGAGCCCCCACTGGATCGCAGGCAGTACTTCGGAGCGGCTTCCGAGCCTGGGCAGGGCGGTGGTGGCCGCGGGAGGGGAGGCAGGGCTGCACAGAGCGCCACCGCGAAGGGATCTTTTTTTCCTCCAACCGCAGTTGCGGTGGACGCAGGAGGTAAGGCAGAGTCCTTGGGTGCCGAACTCTGCGATCCGTCCCCTGCTAGGAGGAGCACACTGAGTCCAGGCCCAGGCTGCTGTGCCCTGCCGAGGCTTGTAGGGAGCGCCAGAGCCCGCGACGACTCCCGGACGTGGATTTTCAGAGCGCGGTGAGTTCTTGCGGCTGTCTAGGGCAAACTTGCAGGCGAACGCCGGAGCCGGGGTCTGGTTCCCCTACAGCAAGCCTGTGCTAGGTGAATATGGCATTTGGCATAGAAAAGGCAAGTGGGCTCCTTCGGATCCGGGCACCGGATGAGGGTCCAGCCTTGCAGGGTCTGTGTCCCTTCACCCATGCGCTTCCCCGCAAATGTCATGCAACCGGTGCGCGCCGCACCCACGGCCAGGCCCGGTTCACCCAGAACGCTTGCCCCGCAGATGCTCCGAGCCGCGGGTGGCCGCAGCAGCCGGAGGAACGAACTATTGAGGTTTGAGGACAGAACCAGCCTGCAGGGGTCCTCAACCAGGCCTAGGGAAGGGTGGGATGGCGTGCGGGAGGGGCGCTCACACTGACCTGCTGGCCTTGGCTCTCCGGCCACGCTGTGGACGCACCGGCGCAGCCAGAAGCTGCAGGGGACCCCAAGTGGAGCAAAAGTACACCCGAAGTGCTGCTCCCTGGCTGTTCAGCCTCGCACCGGACAGAGGAACCTCGCACACCGAAAGCCCTTCCTCCTTTGAAGCAGGTAAGACGAGGGATGGTTGACAAGAAGTGGGAAGATGCTCCGGGCGCGCGGCGGCCGGAAGGCCGAGAGCAGCCAGTGCTGGAAGCTGTAGGGTCCGGCGAGCGCCTAGTGCCGGCTCTCTCCTTCCCAGGCCAGGGGAGGGAGGGGCCTGCTGCGGCCTGCCTGTTTCCGATCAGCCCGGGTTGCTTTCTCTGTTTGCTCACTCCTTCTATTACAATAAAAACAATCGACGTTTCTTTTCAGTTCCCCATATTAGCGTCACTCAGTGCTCTCCACCTTCACCCTCCTCCCGCGTTAAAGGCGAGCGGGATTGCTGGGCTTCTCGATGGCTGGAAGCTTTCCCGAGTCTATAAGCAAATCTTTCCTAAAGACTTTAAAGTAAAAATAAATAACGGCCCGGGAAATTGCCGTGACCCTAACATCACTTTCTGAACGCAAGTTACACCCATTTTTCAGTTTTCAGCGGTGGAATTGCTTTCAGAAGGACGCCTCTGAGCACCCCGTGGTATGATTGCGTCTATTAATTAAAGCCACAAATGAGAAGGAGCCGGAGCTTTTGTTGAAGGAGTAACTGAGTCAAGTCTCTACTGAGGGATAGCGACTAGGAAGAACCATTGAGGGAGGGAGAGGAGGACGGAGGCCAGGCTGATCCCGTGGCCTAAACACAGCAACACCGCCTAGCCAGGCTTGCAGTTTTAGTAGTGATGGCGCGACGCCCAGGCCTGTGTCCTTGCTCACTCAACGACCATGAGCTTCGATTCGACTCGACGCTGAGAGCTGCAGCTGGGCCGAGGGGCAAATACTGCTGGTCCTTTAGCACAGTTGTGTGTGAGCTCTGGAGTTTGTGCTAGCCGCAATGAGACAGCCTCTTCGGAAGAGCCAACTGGCCTAAAGCTGTCAGGAAAAGATAACGGAGAACCAGGCCGCGCCTCTAGTCCTGGTTTCAGGGACAGCACTTGGCAAGCGCCTGAGTTGGGTTACGGTGGACAGGCCATGCTCTGTGGAGCATTGCTGGGTGGTCGGTGTTGTTCGCGGGCTATGGAGTCCGGAGAGAGCTCTTCCTCTCCGTGTGGCCGGGCTGCAGCCCTGGACCCAAGCTTTGGATGGGCTTGAACTGTTGACCTAGGGC